ATCTCCCCAAAACCCCAAAACCCCAAAACCCCTTATTTCCATAAAAAAGTAAATAAAAAATAAATGGCTAAATCCCCTGACCCCCAAAACCCCACTTCCAAACGCTACCCTCGAAATCCCTCAAACTGTGCTGCAATTCCAAAACGTGCTTTGTTGACTGATCTCCGCAAGAAGAAGGCTGCCAGTATATTATTAAAATCAACTCTTGAGAAAAATTTAAAAGTCAGTAGACAAGTGAGCGACCTCCTGGCTAATGGAGATAATAAATTTGCAGTAAAAGCGTTGAAAGAGATAAAACAAAAAGCTTTAAATACTATTCAAAAGTGCCAAAGGAAGTTAAAGGATCGTAATTATTCAACTGCACTCAACTCAACACAGGAAATCCCTGAGGATGATAAGAAGGACTTGGTTTGAGAGCATCCTTATGCTTCAAAATCTGCTAAGAAAGATAAAGGAACTCTTAATGCCACTCAACTTTATAATGTAACTTCTAGGAAATAAGAACAATAAGAGTGTCTGTATGAACAATGATATCCTAATTGAAGAGACATCCTTACCAAAGCTGGGAACTTATAAGCAACCTTTGGGAGGTGAATACAGCTATTTCAGAAGCAGGGGAGACTCCTGAGGAGTAAACTCAATTATAGCCGATAAGTATAAAAATAAAAGAGCAATCTCACATAAAAGAAGTCAAAATGTTGACATTAATTTATCCAAACTGATTTCAGAAAATATGAGGAAGGAACAAGAGATAGAAAGGAATGAAAGAATGAAAATCAAGCTTTCACAAACAACCTACAGGAATGAATTATGAAAGCAGGTTCAACAGCATAAGGAATTGAAAAAGCAGCTCAGCCGTCAAAGCCAACAAGTTGATCAAGAATATCTCAGGTTGTAAGTTGGTTTCTTACCCCTAGTGGCAATACACAATTGATGAGATACAACAAGGAACATGAAAGAAAGAAGAGGAGAATATATGACCTTAGTCAAGAAAATCAGAATATGAGCAAGGTTTTAAATAGACAACGGTCTTCTCAAAAAATTGTAGTTCTCCATTAATCTTGTAGACAGAAAAAGAAGATGATTACATAACAATTAAAGAGGCTGAGCAGAGCTACCATAATGACATCATTAAGTCCAGTTTAGAAAGACAGAAGGCGAAAACTCAATACAAACAGGAAATTGATCAAGCAGTCAAACATAAGATTAAAAAGGCCTACGAAGATGTAGAAAATGAAATAGTCGAATGGTATAAAATAACTCAAAGTTTTATAGTCCAAAACCAGGATCCATGCTTGACTACTTCTTTTTAAGTAAAGAACAAAGAGGCTATGAATGACCAATCATGAGGCAAAAGAAAACTGACATTCAGAATAGTTACCAATCTTACGATGCTAGACTAAGGAAACCCAAGAACATACTCAGTGGATTTTTGTAGATGAAATATAGCAGTTAATTCTATTTTTGAAAACTTATAGCTAAAGAGATATCTAAGAAAGCAGTGAAGGATAAAATAAGCCTGCTATTAGCTCCTATTTTTATTCTTCTTATAACTAAGCTTACTTTTAGCCACAAACTCTAAACTTAACGGCCACCTAACTTCATTAAAATGCTAATACCATCGCTATTACTGGAGAAATCTAAACCTATCTTGTTTAAACCGGTAGAACTGGCTAAAGTTTGAAACTTTGGAGACCTGTTAAGAACTATTATTTTAAAACTGAAAGGGTTTTGGTAACATGGCTCTACTGGTCACATTCAATGATAAAATACTCCGATGGACTTAAAATAGGGAATGAGCCAGTTTACCATTTAAATATGCTACATCATTGTTTGGGGTTTTGGGGTTTTGGGGTTTTGGGGTTTTGGGGTTTTGGGGTTTTGGGGTTTTGGGG